ATGTTTGCATGAGAGAGGTTACAAGTTCAGGGCCCACATCACTCAATTTCTGCCCTCAGATATTGAATCTAAGCCAGTGATTTTCTGGTTGCCTAATAGCACCGAGAATTATCTAAATGAAAGCCAAGGGCACTGCCAGACTTTCATTTGGGTTTTACAGTACGTCTCAATTATCTGTAATCTCACTTCTCACTTTAGTTTGTTTGTTTGAGAGGGTTTTTTTGCTACAAGGCGCATATGCTTGCCAGAGAGACAGAGAGACAGAAAGTGAGAAATCACCCCCCAGGGGGGATGGCCACACCGCAATCCCTTCCCCTCCATTCTCCTCTTGGGATCTTGGGTATGCACGCACATGTGCCTGGCGTGAGTTTAAGCCACCAGGTCCGGGACTCGAACCACGGTCGACTACATGAGAGTTCAGCAACATAGCCATTATGCTAACTGCTGGTCCCCCAGTCTCACTTTCTATGGTTTTAGTTCCCCATGGCCGACCGGGCTCCTGATATAGGTGAGTTCAGTACAATAACATAGTGTGAGAGAGAGAGCGAGCCTATTCACATTACTTAGTACAGTATATCACTATAAGTGTTCTATTTTATTATTAGTTACTATTAGTTAATCACTTGCTATGCCTAATTTATAAATTAAACTTTATCATAGGTATGTACATATAGGGAAAAGCCTAGTATATAGGGGATTCAGTAATATCCCAGGTTTCAGACATCCACTGAGCGTCTAGGACTATATCTCCCGTGGATAAGAAAGGGGCAACTGATAAGTATCCTCAACTGGACTGGTGTGAAGAGTATTGATGTTGGGAAAATTCACTTTACACGCTAAGTGATATATAGTGATTGAATGTATAAAAGAAATTAAATTAAAATAAAATATATTAAAAATAAAACAGAAAGGGACAACTCTATTAACTTCAAAGTGTTTAAGGTAAAAAAGGATCGTCCTTTCTAGCCCTATGGGGTGTCTGTGCTCCTCTCCAGCTTCCCTTACTTACGCAGAGATGTTCTCTAGCACTGCCCTCTCAGCTCTGTTAGTTTTGGCCTTTTATCAAGGGACAGGAATGAGAGGCTCTGCTTGTGCCCTGAAGATGTCAGACACACCCCCCTGACCTTTCTTCCAGTCGAATGGCTCTGATAAGTAGGCAGTCCTTGAGCCTGGAGACCCACAGACACACTTGGATGATTGCTACAGAAATCAGTTAGGCAATCTCCTCCTAGGGGCTCAGAGCCCACTCCGGATGTGAGCCGGGTGCTGGCCGCCAGTGCTGCCGACCTGGCCA